TATCTTTCCTTACCTCCCAGAAACTACCCTCAGGAGCCTCCCCACCGGCATCATCTTCTGATGACATCACACCCGTTTTCTTGCAGCAGAGAATTTTTGCAGATTTTAGTTAAGCTGAGGAAAGAAGGAAAAAAATTTAATATGGCACTGTCTGAACCTTTGCAGAGACCACAGTTCTCCATAACTTTGCTAGAGAAATCTCAGTGTCTTGCAGACAAGCACTGCCATCACTGCACCTCCAGCGGCAGATGGCTGTATGTAGCAGAAATGCCCAAGATTGAACCTGCCTGTTGTTTCCCTCCCTGCAGATGAAGGGCCTCCTTGGCAGCCCAGGAGCACATTTGGAAAGAATGTTGCAGAAGACCATCTTGCCAAACCTCAGCTGTATGAATCCCAGAAATGCTGATGAATCCAACATTTCTCAGCAGCAGTCACCTCTGCAGAGATTCTTTTCTTCACCAAGGCTCATAGAACAGTAGCAAAAGCTACAGAAATGGAGGTAGCTAGAACCATTAGAAAGTCCTCTGTCAGATGACTCCAGCTTCCCAGTGTGAGATTCAGGATTACAGCTGACTGGAAATAGTGATGCTGGGCAGTCAGCAGGCAGGCATGTCTTGAATGGGGAGGAGCCCTACAAATTGCCCATTGGCTGAGTTGGGCTCAAGTAAAACTGCAGAAATATGCTGAAGCAAATCCAGCCAAGGGAAGGTACTGCAGCATGCATGCCAGTTACTCAGCCATGCCACTTCCCTAGAAATATCTCTGTAAAGCTGTCACAGCCCACCACTGCACTAGGGTCAAAATCCAGGCAAGGAGTTGAAAAGTGTTTCTCATTCTATTGTCTCTTCTGCCCATTTCCCCTGTGCAAGCCTGTGCTGCCATTCTGCTCCTGTCAGGGTGCAACACCAAATACCTTGAGAAAGCTTCTGGGATGATCTTAGGCAAGAGCAAAGAGTAATGCAAAGAGACTCAAGCATTGACATATAAACCTGCTCCATTCTAGGCAAGCTTGGGTTAATCTACCATAGATGTCCTTTGCTGCCACTTCTCCTCTTGCACATTCCTAGTTATAAAAAGCTTTCTTCACACCCCAGAGAGGTATCTGGTCATTCTGCCAGCCCACAGAGTACACAGCAGAGATGAAGAAAATCACATCGAGAGTCCGCATCCCCCACATCTTTAAAGTCCTTTCCACTGTGCCTACTATAGCACGAGCCACATCCTGAAGTGTCCCAACAAAGACTGCAGGAATTTCTTCCATTTCTTCTGGCAACAGCCAGGCTCTATTTGCAGTCTCATCTTACTGACAGTAGGAAGTATATTAACGCTGCTCCAGAAGGCTGAAGTGATGAATGTCAGTCACAGAAGCAAGTTGTTAAATAGGATGTGGTGCTCAAATGCATGAACTTCGAAGCCTGCAGAACAACTTCACCTGTTCCCATCCTCCCTCTCCCCCACCATTCCTCAGAGGTCTGCAAAGCCATATTACTGGTTTCCAGGGCATGCAACTCCACATTAGTCCCCAGTAGCTACATACCTGAAAACGAGATGACAGGGGAGCAGCAGGAAGCTGGCAACTACGTCCTGAGCTCAAATTCTGTAAAACAGATTGGAGAGGAGACAGATGGGCACAGTTAGATAGCATTGCTTCGCTGCCTGCTCTGACACATCCCAATCCCAGCATAGACATAAGGTTGTCCCCCTTCTGCCAGCTACTAGGAGGGGCACCCTCTGATATAGCAGCTGCGGCCACTGTGCCTCCTAAGATGCCACGTTCCAACACGTAGGAGAGATGCCAGATCGCTGTGTCACAAGATCTAGCCCCAGAGGAAATTAAAATAGAAACAGTGGGGCGGGATGACAGCACTGTGCGGGAAAGGTAGCATCACAACAGCTGAGCAAAGGGAACTGCCCAAGGAAAGAAGGGCCTAAAATAAGCACACTCCCTGGGCACGGTATGTGGGGCCTGACCCCCCTACCCCCCCCAACTGTACACTGTCTGGTTTGGGAAACTCACTGCCACCACATTTAGGCTTAGTAAACTTCAGGAGAAGGGGAAGGACAGACGTATACCTTCTCCAGACCATGTTTAGTAAAGATGAAGGGCATTTATCTATGAAACAAAGGACTCTTTAACTTCACAATTAAAAACAAGCTTGCTTTCTCCTCATGGAGAGGGATCAATTAGTTACAACTCATGAAGGTTGTATCACTTTTTCCCATCCTTCCCTCCCACTCTCCCCCATCCCCACTTCTTTATCAGGAAGCAGTGAATCACAAACATGCCTTCCATCTCTTGTTTCCAGTTCAGGCTGACTATACAGTCCTAGAATTCAGGGTTAAATGTGGAAAACTTGTGTCAGAGTGTGCTTGTTTGTTTGATAGTCAATAAGAAAGGAGGAACTGAAATCCATTCTTTCTGCTATTTTCATGTTCAAGTTGGAAACAAAATTGAAGAAGTTGGGAATGAACTAAAGAAAAACTAAAGAAATCATGAGAAATTATATTTCTGCCATTTCCACAATAAATGTGAGCTATCCTCCCTTATTTCATCAAGTTACAAGCCCAGGTAACTGGGTCTACTATGCTTGTGATTAGCAAGTTCTGAAACGTAATAGTAGCAGTGCAGAACGAGACTGAGTGTTCTTGTTGCCCTATATCCTTCACAGACAGTAGCCAAAAGCAGGTATTTTCCCCTGCTCTGAGAACAGAGCAAGCATACATGATGCCTCCCTGCATATTTTCCAAGCCTCTAACCATTTGTTGACAGGAGCTTCCTGAGCTGGATGTGGCACCTATGAATTTAGAAACACTCAATGCATTTCTCTTCCACTAACTTCCCCAATCTCATACGAGTTTTCAGCATCAACAATATCATGTGGCAAAGCATCCCACAGCTTAAGGCTCAACTTGGAACCACCACAGTAGCAAGGTGGCACAATTAAAAAAAAAAAAAAAAAAAGCAGGATAATATTTCTGCAGGTCAGTCTCCATGTGTCAAGTAGCACTCAGTAGAATACACATTTAAAAAACGTTTATGTAGACTTTATAGAAGCCAGGGAAAAAAAAAAAAAAAAAAAAATGATACAGTCCTGAAAGATGGAAAAAGGTCAAAAAAAATAAGGAGGACCCTTTTCTGCCAGGCTTTTTCTGGACTTTACATAGCCCATGAGCCCATGTCAGTCAGCAGATCAAATTGGATCTGCGTGCAGACACAGGGAAGGTACTTAGTAGTGCACACAGAAGCTGAAGAACAGCTGCTGCTGTCACCCTCAGCCCAAGAAGAGCAAATAGATTGCCACTCCACCCCCTCATGCCTCGTTATTCCTGAAACATAGGTGTTGTGTGCTGCCAAGAACCCAAAACCAGGGAAAAATTGAGTTTGCCAGGAAAAACAAATAGAGAAGCATTACACATGCCAAAGCCTGAGGCTTGTTTTATAGCAAGGTATAGAGATGACAGTACTACCCTATGCACAGCCCAATGTAGCAGAAGCCACCATGTAATTCAGAAACGCTAAGAGAGCCTGCACAGGACAAGCAGTATAGCTGGAGTTACATGTGGATCGGCACTGACACATTCTGATGCCACTGCCACCTTTGCTGAGAAGAGGCCAACAACAGATTTGCACACCTAGAGGAATGTTTATCCTTCCCCTTCTGCTTTCCTTGTTCACATCTCACAGATAAAAGGTTGGAGACCTCACTGCAGCTCCTGCAAGACAAGCTCTCTGAAGGAGAGTGACTTCTTCAGTCACTTCGCACCTCTGCAGAGTTACAAATGAGGGCATCACTGGCACTGCTACAAACAGCAGTGTCAAGTAGACAAAATAGATGACATAAATGATGCTTACGCAGAGCTACAGCCTTTGCTGCTGACAGTGTTAAAAAAAAATAAAAGATACTCTCCTACTTCCCTAAAGATCTACTTTCATTTATGAACAGCATAGTAAGTTACCCAAAAGTGGCTCTTAATCTTCAGCTGCAGGAAGGCAGAATGGCTCATGACTGATTCACTGGTGCTGAGCTTCACTCAGAGAAATGCCACTTGTCATGGCAGGGCTGTTTCCACATTTAACCATGCTGATCTCACCCTGCTACAGTCAGTCACACATCCCAGACCATAATTCTCCACCCTCAGACCAAGGTGTCACTAAAACTCTCTGCTTTCAAATGCATGCATCTGGGAAGGCACTACTTGTTTTTGTTTCAAGTTTACACAACACTAATACAACAGGGTCTTGTTCCACAATTATAGTGCCTAGACTGGATAGTAATTACTCTTTTCAACTTCAGAAACTTTTCCCTAAGGCAGGTAAACCACAAAAATCTTCTTCCCTCTAAACCACACTCCAGTATTTCCAGGCTCCAACGCCCAAGGAATCACTTCTGTGCACTGCTTGACTGCCTTCTGAGACTGACTCCCTGTAAGCAATTGTTCTCTCAAGCTTGCCAAGAAGCAGCCTCTGGGCCCTACAAATGCTCACAGGGCTGGTGCGTGCAGCCCTGCAGGAATTTGTCCACAGAAACAGAGTTTGTTCACTTGCCAAGCAAGGCCTTCTGCGCGACTCTTCCCCTTTTCCTGAGTACAAGCTTAAGCACTGGATTCAGGCAGACAGAAATAAGTTTGAATTCTATTTATCCAGTAACCAGGGCTTTGGCAGAAGGAGATTTTTATTATGGACCAATTTCTATGTGTTGCTTAGCTTAGTTTTAACACCTAGTTTTAATTAGGAACAGGCTGTTAATAACTAATTTCTCCCTTGAGAAAACAGTAACACCACAAAGCAGCAGCAACTCATGTATTTGATTCCCAAAGAGTCACCTTTCCTGTATGCAGGCAGTGGTAAAGGTTTCATTCTCTCCAGGGCACTTCCAGTATAGGTTGCCAATAAGCACTTCAATCTCAACAATCCAAATACACAGAAGTACTGACACCACCACTTCCTTCATAGAGCAGCAGGCACAAAAACCCTTCATTTTCTGTTAACTGTTTTTCAGAAAGGAACTAAAAAGCTGAAGCCAGAAGGAACTACATGAAACCATCAGCACAATGAACTGCATTGCTGTTGGTACAGCAGTGCTAGGAAGGTCCTGATGGAAACAATGAAACAAGGCACGGGACAGCATTTCTTTCCAGCTTCCCCATCCCCACAGGTAGGCACCCAATAGTTACAGTCACTGATTCAGAGCTGTGTCCAACAAGGTAAACCACTGGAGAGTGGTATAACACAGGAACACTGATATTTACAGGTGTGCTCACCTCTCTGAAGAGGGGCCAGTTCACCTTTACAGCTAGAGACTGCCAACTAACACAGATCCTCCAAGAAGCCTGTGTACCTGAGATGACTTCTACCCAGCAAAACACCCCTTAGAGATACTTACCCTACTGCTGTGATCACACCCTTGGTAGGGTCACCTGACTGGTAAACAAACAGCAAACCAGCATTTCCCAGCCGCTCCCTAAGGACTGACGCCTACCAGGACTGCCTAATGCAGTTTTGAGAAAGACTCCAGATGATCTCTCCAGGCAGGGAGAGGTCAGAGGGCCATCAGGCAGAACAGTGACTGCACACAAAGGTCACTTCAGCTATGTGCAAGCCTTTAACAGAAGCTTGTCTCCAAAACAGTAATTCTCTAGAGATTGCGTAGCTGACCGTTAGCAAAGTTCTCCTTGACTATATGGAAGTATTAAAATGCAGACAAGATCCTCATCCTCTTAAAGGAGGATGATTCCTTTAAGTCTGCACGATGTTTCACTGCACTGTCTGGTTTCACCTTCTTTATATTGGTCTCCTCCAAATTCAGGCCAAGCTAATATCCTGTAAATAGATACCCTGCTATACCCTTCCTCCCTTTTTTTTTTTTAAAACTCTATTTTTCACATGTTCAGACAGAACAAAGTACCTTCCATATCCATTAGCTACTCCCTGTTCAGTTCTCAGAGGCCAATGCTACAGGACAAGCTTCTGCCAACACATCATTGCTGATCTAAAGGATAAGATTCCTAACCAACATGCTGTACCAGGCAGAAACCACTCCACCAAGAAAAATTTCCTTTTCTACTCCCATAGGATGTAGGAAATCTCTAATATTAAAGGAAACACAGATCTGTCCTGGTTAACATAATAGTATGAGATAATATTAATAAAAGAGTGCGTTGGGCTATCAAGGTCCATGCTATTTTTTTCCTCAAAGTTGTTCTTCCTATGAGAAAGTTTGCTTATAATTGCTGTATGTTTACAACAGTTGCTAGAATAATCGTGACATGCACGCTGCAGCTATATTTAACAGGCAGCTTCTAATAAGAGCAGAGGGAAGTTTGATAAAGAGCTACTAGGAATTGCGCTACAGCAGCCTCATTTCTTAGCTCAGTGAACAGCATAGGACCTGTTTCACACAATCAGCTTGCCTGCTTCCCAGTTCTCCCAGAGCCAGAGAAAGCACTGTCAGAGCAAGGTGTTAACCCATGCAGACAGAGTGCCTCCAAGCTCACTGTCCCACTCTCCAAGCCTCTTCAGCTGCTTGCTTTCACACTGCCTACTTCCTATCCTGTTGCATCAGTCTCTGCAAATAGATGCCAAGCTTGCCAGCAAATTTGTGCATCAGCAACTCACTTTTGTTGCTGTTCTCTTCTGCTTAACTGTTGCAAATAAGCTATTTCTTCCTAAATTGCTTAGACCCCAATAAAAGCTGTTATCTCTTCTCAAGTCTCAATTTGCACTAAATTCAGTTTTTCCCAGTACTTAATCTACTTTCACCTGATCACATTTTTTCTGCACTCTAGACAAGATCAATAGTCCATCCTGTAGAATAGTTGCCTGTAACTTAAGATATCTCTGATCACAACAGCAGGCTGAGGCAGTTCTCCCATTTAGGCTTTAAGTACAGTTGTTTTCTGTTTAGAACTTTATGTGAAAAAACAATGATCCAAACCCCAACCTCATCCAACAGAAATCATCTGTTCTTTACTGCAGAGTAAAGAACAGGGGAAATACTAGGGTAATAGTGTCTTTTCCCAACTAAACAAAACTGTGGCTACTCCATGTCAATAGAGCATTCTCCTCCTGTGATTGAGTCACCTTGTAACCCCAGAGCAAGGATCAAGTTTACTTTGAATGTATTAAGAAATCTTAAGGTAGCAGTCATTTGCAATCAAGCAGCCTTCAGAAGAGGCCAGTTAGCTCTGTTCTAGCACTGAGCTTTCAGTGGTTCCTTGCTTCAGGACTACATAGTAGACCTTAATCTCCAAACAGCTGTGCCTCCTCCTTCCTTCCATTTGAAAGTAGCACTTTTTTTTTTAAGCCCAGCTGCAGTTCCACATACCTCTGTATATAAAGTAAATTCTTGGCTTCACTTTACCAACACTTAGAGTTCTGCATGTCTCTTAGAAGGGGGAAAGGGAGATGAAGTTGGCAAGTATCTTGCCATCTTGATGAAGTATACAGCAATCACGCGCCCAATGATTTCAAAATACATTTCTTCATCTCTGGTTGTATCAAGAAGGCATCTGGGTTTCCTCAGTAAAAGCTAGTTTACTGAAACTGTTTATTAGAAAGAATCTTAAAATCATTTAGGTTGGAAGAAAGTGATCTTGAGATCACTAAGTGCAACCATCAACCTGACACTTCCACGTCCACCACTAAAACATGTCCCCAAGGACCACATCTTTTAAATATCTCCAGGGACATCATTTTCACCCCTTCCCTGAGCAGGCCATTCCAATAGCTGATCACCTGATATTCACAAAGAAGTCTTCCCCAGTATCCAACCTAAATCTTGCCAGCTCAACTTGAGGCTGTCTCCTCACATCATATCACGTCACCTGAGAAGTGTGACTGATACCCTCCTCACTGCAGCCTCCTCTCAAGTAGTTGTAGAGTGATGAGGTTAAACAACCCCAGTTCCACATATCTTCTCTAGTCCCTTAACCAGCTTTATTGCTTTGATGAATATTTCTGTTCCAAATATTCATACAATGCAGGCAAGAACCTAAATGATCATCAAGATATTTCTAAGTTCATTCAGTTCCCTGCTCAGTCCCAAACAGGCTGTGCAGAAAAGAATACTAGCAGCTTCATGAACAGCAAGTGGGAATAAGGTAAGATTCAGTACTACTATATCTCTTACGTTAGAGGAAGAGGTAAAGCATCATATTCAATTTTTTCTAGTTTATGTTCTGGGCAGTTCCTCCACTTTACTGATAGCAAGGCTCTTTGCTCACCTTTTGCCAATAGAGCTAGGTTTACTTAATTTCTTCCTCACGGGAAAGCTTAAGCAACATAAAGATGTAACTGTAAGGCAAGACTCTTATATACAACATAAGGGTAAAGCAGGCTGCAGCACCATATGAAGTGGCAAGAGTATTGGTATGCAGTTACATAAGGTTACTTTGCAGAGTGTTTTGGGGGGGAAAAAAGCATGTTGGGGGAAAAAGAAAATGTTGTTTGCATTGGGGGAGTAGAGAGAATATTCATTACCTTAGATTCCCTTCCGAGCAACTTCAGGTCCTAGAAGCTTATAGCAGATTCAATCACTTCATAGTCCACTCCCAAAAATAACTATATCTCATATATATGAGATATATGACATATTCTCTAGAGATATGCATTGAAAACAAAGCTGAAAAAGGGCAGCCATTAAGAATTGGCCTGCAATGTGAATATTTGTACTTTGCCCATTCTCCCCAGAGATCCTTGCTGCAACTTTTGTCGACTTTCATGTTAACTGCACAGAATCTGGTGTTTGGTTTCAGTCTCTTCAGCCCTTTTCAAATAAATTTTTAGATATCAAGCTGAAGAACAAGTCTATAAATATATTTCATATTTCAGGTGTTATCAACGAAATCCCACGAGAATACAACAGCCAGTGCAAAATGCATATATTACAGAACAGATTTCAATTACTGAGCATCACTGGAATGTCATTTGCTTCCACAGCACAGATAGAATCATATAGATTTCAGCTTCTGATCCTCAGAACCTAAACTGACATGTGAGGAAAGCACACGAGGAATGTTAAAAAAAATAAAAATCAGAGCACAAACAGAGCAATCTCCCCCTCGTGGCTTCCAGAAGCAGCTCCTGTCCCACAGCTCAAAAAACTAGGTTTGTTTTGGTTGCTGTTTGTGCTGGGGTAAAAGCCTGCTGGAATCAACATCCATATTTCACAGATGTTACCAGGCAGTGGTGGAGGCAGCACTGGTACAAGAAAGGGCTGACTGAAAAACATCAAGAAACAAAAAAGTATTTATAATCATTCAAGAAGTGAAATATACTGATCTTCTCCCAGTCCTCAATGAAAGTTTCTTGTCCTTGTCAGAGCCAGGCATCAAGCCTATTTGCTCTGCTCAGCAAATGCAAGAGAGGCTTGTCTCAGCAGCAAGGATGAGGGAGAGGAGGAAGTTAATGCCCACAGATAATCATTTATGGGTGACTGAAAAAGTTGATCATGTTCCCAATAGCCAAGTAGGCAAGTACCACACCTTCCTGAACACAGACGAGACACAGCTTGGGCACACTCATAGCATGGACAGAGCTGAAGAGTTGCTGACAGTTTTGTTGCCTGCAGCAATTCTAAATCTCTTAGCCTAGAAAAATTGTCTGGCAGGTCACAATAAACAACTGTAGTACAGGAGAACATGAAATTCTCACGAGCTTAATGCCTCTGGATACAGGCCCCTGCTACTAGAGAGATCTCCCACATACCCCTTCTGTACTCTGTACAATGCAATGTTGGTGACAACCACTAGATTTAACAAATTCCAACTATCACAAGTCTGAAAGGCTCTTTCTCATTGTGCCATTCTGACAGAAGCAACCACTGACATTGAAATATGATTAGGATGCCAGTCACACGTATTGCCTCACAGCAGTACCCAGCCTCAACCCACATTTCAGCTTGGAGGAACATGAAGCTATTGTACCAGTCATCAAAACAAAGCAGGATGATTACAGCAGGGGACACACCAGACTCTCTGCACTGACTTTACACTGTCTGCTGGAAAAGTTTCTGCAACCATGGCCAGAAAGTATTTGGATGTTAATTAAACTTAATGATCACTATGCCACAAGGTAGCAGGCAAAAAATTGCCACCTAAACAGCTTCTGAACTGCTCTAAAGGATGCAGAGCTCTTCTGCTACTTTTCAAAGAGCTAAAGCCCAAATTCTCTGTGAAAAACTCCAGGTATACTAGTCACATTTTCTCTCATCCACTAAGGCTTTTTCTATTTAATCTCTCTAGCTCCCTGTTATACAGCACCATCTACACCCATCATGCTAAATAAGTGGTGATAAAATAGCTTGCCTGATCAAAAAGTCTGTTCTAGGGTGATAAGAGTCCCTCAAAGGGCTTGAACAGCTCTGCTATTGTTTAGGCATTTCCCCATGAACTCTCATGAGCAGCCTAAATTCCCATATTACTGATCAGCTGATGGAAAAAATAGAGGCAGTTTATTATTGCTCTCTAATCAAGAGCATAGTTTTTTCCACTCAGGCTGTAGGCAGATACTTTTAACTTTTGAGGTCCCCAGTTCAATCCCTGGATGGCAGCCATCACATGAACCAAACAGTTCAAGCCCTCAAAATGACCAGAATAATGCAAATACAGTATATGCCATCCTGAAATACAATAAGAGCTCCTAACAGAAGTTCATCATGCCCACATGTTGTGCCCAATCTGTTCAATTGGGTTTTGTAGTTATCTCCAAGGAACAGTAGTCACATTACAAATATACCTGATGGTACCTTTGAATTTGTTTCTATAGTTTTTTTTGTTTGTTTGGTTGGTTTTTTTTGGAAGCTTGTGCTCATCCATGATCAGAAGTTTCAAGCTAGCTCTCATATAATCCACAACAACCCAGAATGACTAAAATGCATCAGTCACTGTCCTGGGGAGAACTCAGTCTGGGCCCTCAAGATTTTCAGGCTCTTACGACCTGGATGTGCACACAGTTTGCCAAAGACCTGCAGCATATCAGCCCAGCCCAGATACATGGGCATAGATAGGGAAGGCAGGAAACAAGTAGTCCAGCTCATAGCCATTCTGTTCAGAGCTGCAACTGGAAGTACCATCTAGTAAATATGTTAGGTGACTTCTCACAAGGCACTATAATTAACACAAAACTCTGTCAAAGAACAACAAACCACCTTGCGGAGTACAGCGTACACCTCATGGAAAGGTGAATCCTGCCCAAAAAAGGAATGTGCTCAGTTAGGTAATGCACAGGGAGAAGCTCCATTTTGACTCCACCCAGAAAGAAGCTCACCTGCAGCGAGGAGCAGCTGGACCCTGTCATTTTAGCCCACACGCTGCAGAGGTGCATTCTGCTCCCATTACGCACCGAGAAACATTTCAGTTGTCGTAGGGCTCAATGACTTCTCAGTGACATCTGAATTCCAGGGTGGAGCGGGAGGCTCTGCTAGTATTGTGCATCACAATCAATTACCACAGTATCAGAAACTCCTTCGTGCAAATTAGATTAGCAGTGAAGCTGAAAGGAAGAGGTTCACATCTCATTGCTGAAAATTGGGAGCACCCACTGGGAACGGAGCTTACGATGTGAATGAAGAGTCCACAGCACATGTCCAGAGGTGGCCAGCTAACCTCCTCCTCACCCCCCGCCCGGGGACGACGCAGAGCTTTTAGAACTGAGGCAAGCAAAGAACACATAGTTGGCACAGAAAGTTGTGAAACTGGTTAATGCATTTGGGCCACGCTAACTTCATTTATTGATGGTCTTGTGGAGATGGCAGATCCCTCCTCCTGCGAGCAGCAACAAATCACAGACCGAGTGCTGGCTATTCAGGCCCACTAATACCTCCGAGTTTATCAGCTTTCTCCCGCCCAGGGCGGGCAGGACACGGTAACCCCAGCGGCGTGCCATAGCCCGGCACCGCCCGGCTCTGCCCACCGTGACACCGAGACCGCAGCCTCCCGCCGGGCAGGGAGGGAGAGGGCAGCAGGAGCGGGGCTGCCCCATTCCTCACGGCAGGGGCACGGCGAGAACCCCCGCGCCCGGGCCCCAGCGAGGCCCCTTCCCCCGGGGAAGCCGTTCTGCTCCTCAGCCGCGGCGCCGCCGGAGCCCGCGGCTCCAGTTTCAGAGTGGGAAGCAGCCCGCGGCGGAGCCGACACAAAGGGGCCCCTGTCCCCGCTGCGGAGCGGAGGCGTCGGCTGCGGAGAGCGCGGGCGGGGAGCGGGGCGGCCCGCCGAGCCCCCAGTGGTGCGAGCCGCCGGGCACCCGATAAAGGTCAGATCGGTGGCCGGACCGCGCGGGGCTCCTCCGGGAGCCTTCCCCAGCCGCACGGCAGCCCGCAGCCTCGCCCTCAGGCAGCGCCTCGCGCAGCCGTCTCCCCTCCACGAGGAAACTTCTCCCTTGCGACCGCCGCTAAGCAGCCGGGAGCCCCGGCACTCCGCAGAGAGCCGGCCCGACGGAGGACACCTCGCTTACCTCACCGGCAGCACGGTACGGCACAGCCCGGCAGTCAGCAGGCACCTGGGCCGAGCGGGACGGGCCCTCCCCTATTTCAGCCGCGGGACGCGGGGGCTCCCGCCCCGCCCCCAGCAGCTGCCGGCAGGGCGGGCCCGGCGCTGGGGGCAGCCCGCTGGCGGCGGGGCAGCGCCGAAGAGGCTCCGTCCGCTCCGCCCTCTCCCGATCCAATTAACGGGCCCTGCACGGGCAGGTGGGGTCGGGCGGGGGGCAGCGCCTCGGTGCCGGGAGCTGGGTGACCGGGAGCCGTGTGGGACAGCCGGGAGGGGACGGAGCCTCGCTCGTAGGAGGCGGGAGGTGCCGGGCCGAGCGCCCCGTCATGGCGGGCGCCTGAGGGGGTGGAAGGCGGCTCGGTGTGGAGGTCGCAGGTTCCCTGAGCCCCGTTGTCCTCGGAGCCTGTCCCTGTGTTCTGGATGAGGCACTGGTCGCTCTCCTGGAGGTGGGCAGCAGCTTCAGCACGGCGGCCCGCTCCCGCAGAGCTCACTTTCTCATCTGGAAACCTTTCCCTAAGTAATCCAGCCTCATCTTTCAGTGTCCCGGTCGAAGCCAGCTTTTTAGCAGTACCAGGGGCTGCGGGCCAGAGTTTCCATCCCCAGCGCCAGGCCTGGGTGGGGTTTGCCATGACGCCGGGGCAGAGCTCGTAGCGGAGCTGCAGGGCCATGCTGGCCCTTCTCACCACTTCCAAAAGTCCTCAGACCTGGCTCCAGGGACCAGCTGTGCGTTCGTGGTGATGTTTATTCAATCAGCAGAGAAAGGAAAGAGTGAGAGAGGAAAAAGCGCGCTATAAATCTGCACTGCCTCTGGAGTCCCTTCCCAGTGGGACTGGAAAGGTTTGTCTGGTCCTTGGAGTTAATCAGTGTTATGGTTTAAGCATCAACTCTGCATTTTACTTAAAAATAATGTTAAAAAAATAATTTATTTGGCATAGATATTCCCTAATTCAAGTATGAGATATGAACACCACTATCAAATTTATGCAGATTAATGTGGTATAGAAAGAGCAAAAATCTGCTACTCCTTAATACTTTATGCCAGCATTTACCCAGCTTTCTGTTATACCAGTTGTGGTACAGATACCTCATTCACTGAGCATCTGAGATAATGCTTTCCACATGGGGTCTGCTTGCCCCCAGCACTAAGTGGCAACGATACTGTGTAACATTGCTGCTTCGCTCCTTTCCCTCCTTCCCTCTAAGGCTGGAATATTGTAATATGGCTAATACAATAGCAATACTTTTTGTTTTTCTGGTCCAGGACAGCTTAGTAAAGATCATAGGCTAGAAAGAGGCCAGATAGCATGATACTTATTCTCTTTGCTCTCTTTGGGGTTGTATCTTTTTCTTTCTTTTTTTTTTTTTTTTTTCCTTTTCTTTTTAGCAGAATGTAGGCTTGCTTTCTTATGCAGGCCAAACTCAAGTTGTTGTAATGGTGCTCTTTACATCACAGTCAGACTAAAGTAGCCAAAAATGTTCGTGCTTTGGAAAAAGGTCCTGGCAACAAGGAGGCAAAATACTGTCCAGTATTACAAATACCACAGAGATGACAGTCTTAGTCATAATATAGCTTTACCAAAGCTGGCAACAGGATGTCTTAATTCTGTGATAGAGAATTGAGGTCTGTAACTGACTGTATGTTGGACAGAAGGCATTGTGAAAACAAGGCTTGTACTCTGCCCGTGGGTAATCACACTCCTCTACCTTGGCTGCATACAGGAGTTTGAAGAGCGTGAGCCTATGCACACATGTGAGAATATTCTTTTAGAATTACTCTTTCCCTGGCTATCTCAGAGTGCCACACCTGCTCAGTGCTGGCACGCCGATACCAATTGGTGGCACCCTGGGCTGGTGGCGTGTCTTCTGCGCATGGTTTGCGATCTACTGTTCTTGTCCTTAGTGAATAATGATTATGGAAATAATCTGATGACTCTCCAGAGAAAGCAAGCTCAGTGTTAGTAATTGATAGAAAATGCTAACCATGACAGCTCAGTGAGGAAACACAAGGGCTGCTGTGCACATTCGCTGTGTGGGGAAGCAGACGAACACTAGAGGATGAAGGAGCAGGATGGGAAATGCACATCTCTGCTCAGATGAGCTGGGTCACAGCATCACAGCTTGCTTTGGGATTAATGAGTAGATCACTGAAAGCAATGTGAGGATTTCAGTGTTTCTGGCATGGAAATTACCCCTTGTAAAGTACGTAAAAACTAAAGATGTTCATGTTTATGCCATTGGTGATTTCTGGTCAACTCCTCAGATCCCAGCCCTGATGTCGAGACCCTGTGCACACCTGTGGCAGCACTGCTGACTGCCATCAAGACAAGGAGGATATTTTTCTGCAACAGTTTCCTTTCCTGTAAACCAGGCCTTTGTGGTACCCGAGGAAAGCAGGTGAGGACTACTTTCAATTACTGCCATTGCTACTCTTTGGTGGTGGGCATAGCTCTCAGGAGAGCGCTGTGCTGCAGAAGTGCTGTGTAAGAGCTGGCAATGCCGGTCAGGTTGGCGTATGCCTTCAAAACCCGGTTGTGGTGTCTGTCGGTGGGTTTTTGTAGGTCGTTCTGACAGCTGCAGGATGCCAGCAGCTAACACAGCGTTGTTGCGGTTCAGCAGAAAAGCCCGGAGATTGGCTCTTCGTCGTAGTGGCGGCGAGCCCTGCCGAGCGGGGCCGAGGGGCGCAATGACCGCCGCCTCCGGGCTCCGTTCCGCTTGCCGGGGCCGCCGGCCGCTGCTCCCCCCACTTCGCTCCCCGCCCCGGTTATGAAACCTCCGGGGAGGGGCCGGCTGCCGCCCGCCGTCCTCGGCGGCACTGGGGAGCGGAGGTCGGGGGAGCGCAGGTGAGAGCGGGGTGGCCCTGGGGAAGCCCAGCCGTGCGGGGATGGGAATTTGCGTTGCGGTTACCGCGGCCACGTTCGCGGCAGTCGCTCGCGACTCTTTAACCATCGGCATCGAGGAGGAGAGCCTGGCAGGGCCCTCCGCAGTCAGTGGGCCCACGGCGAGGAGCTGCCGGCTGCGAGCGTGTCTGGCGCTCAGAGCAGGAGCCCGAGCCGCGTATCGGGCTGTGAGCGGCCGCTGGGTAGGAAGTGTCGTCTGAACACGTGGTGGAAAAGCAGTCAGCCTTGACCGGCTTGGTAACGGCTCTGATCTCTTCCCTAGCGAAATCTGAAGAGCTTGCTGTGAGCCACCAGAGAAACAGTAGGGCATTATGTGGTTGCACAGATGTACTTTATGCAGATCTGTGGGTTTTAGGCTAAAACGTTCTGTAGAAGCACATCTGTCAAAACATACTCTAGTGTTTTAGGATGCATTCGTTTTCATGTGGGAACAAAGAAGAGCTTATTGAACCTGTTCCTTTCCCCAGCAGTGCACAACAAAAAGCTACTGTCATCCCGATGAAAGGGGCACAAGGTACAGTTGCTACTTCCAGGCCACTGGGGTGTGCTTCACTCCCGTTTTCCTCTGTCTTCTGTGTATGGCAGTCTTACCTTCCGTGCTTTGTTTGCTTTTAGTGGTCAGACAGAATGGCTCCAGTGAACCAGCCCAAGGACAAGAAGCATGAGAAGACATATTGGTCAGAAGAGGCAAAATCAGCTGAGAAAAGGAAACTGGACTACGAAGGACTGGAGAATGTACCACTAGCAAAGAAATTGTTTTTGAGGAAAACATCCAAAGCCCAAGAGAAAATTGGTAACATTTCCTAAGGTTCTTGGTCCCAGCCAGATTTACCTTAAATCCCGGGCATTAACTAGTTGAAGAGAGAGGATGCCAAGAAACATGGTCAGATGCGAGATTTCAGATAGGGCTGTATATTGGAGGTATAACACAGACAGCACTGGGGTAGTACATCCTCCAATTATCTGTCTAGTTGCACTGTGTCTTTGTACACAAGTCTCGTTTTTGAGACTCTGTCCCTTGATAGAAGCCTGCTTACTGATATTACTGTCACAGCCCACTGCAGAGTGGTTAAGTTCCACGGAATTCCCAAGTTAGCAGACATCTGCTTTAGTGCAGGACAGACTGACCTTGGCCACATATCATTCTTTCTTCCATACAGTTCTTAATGCAGTTTCATGGTCGTAAGTTTGGTGTTCTACAGCATGCAGCCTAAACTGGCCTTTCCACCTAATCCTTTGTATTCTAACTTTCTAAAGTGAGAAGGTATACTAAATACTTCCTACCTCTATGTTCAGATTAGACTGGACAGAATTTCCACTAATCACTTTTCATGTTCTTTTTCTTTCCCTCTGATTTGTAACTTAAAGATGTCTTACATTTTTTATTGAAAGAGAGAGAAGTGATTTAAAGATGGTGGGAAAATCTGCAGTAACAAAAAAGTTGTTTAGACTTCAGTTATTGTAAGGATCGATTTTTACATATGTTGAAAAAAAATTCTCCTTGTATTTTTAGGACAGGTCCAGTTTCTTGCAATTGAAATCTGTTTTGAAAGGATTTCTTACAGCAGATGCTAAACAGGCCTAGAATTCGTTCTTAATAACTTATCCTTTGAAATAAAACTGAATCTGAAAAAACTCCCCATCACCTTTGAAGAAGGAACTGTGAATGTTAATTCTTCTGTGGGGAAAAAGAAAGGAATTAAAATATCAATCCTTCTGTTCCCATTTCAGCAGGTGTGGCGTGTTGGCTCTGTGTTGGCATGTGAATGTAGAGGCTTAGTCTTGCATTTCTGCATTTCTTAGCTCCAGGGTTGCATTAAAGGAAGATTTTGTTCAGGTTCTAATTGCACGGAATGATACGTATGATGTTGCTCTTCTGTTTCTTCATTAATGCCTTTACATTAAAGTAGCTTTTTTGTTCTTTAAGAAAGGCATCTTTCCCATTTGACACCTAGATCTGTTGGAGTGTTACAGACAATTGCCATGGGGATGATTAGATCACAGACGTGGGACTGAGCAGATCTTGTTTTTATGTAAAGGTCCCTGAAGATAAAACTTGGAACATGGACAGAACGTAGAAGCATGCTGTGCTTTCAGCAAAAACCACCCTGAACAGAAAGGTTTTCACGCAATGAGGCGTCAGCAAGTCTATTATCAAAAACAAAACTCACAGTGCTCTGGACAGACTGTATGAGCTACAGCACAAGCAGATAGAAAATTCTAATTCACATACAGGCATTTCAGGAACTGCATGGGAAGTCATGTTGCTACGCTTTGGGAGTTTTCAGATGTAACATTTCTGACTGATCTTCCACCGTACACACGAGCTCATCCCCTCCCATCATGTATTTCCAGGTTGTTGGAGCTTTAGATAGATTCCAAGTATGAATCACTCAGGTTCTATACTGTCCCAGAGATGCACCACCAGAAGCTTTGCTTTCATCCTCTCTTTGTCTTTCTGGCAAATCTTTGATGAGGAAAAGGGAGATTTAATGTGCAGAGGCGCACACAAAGCTCTGGCAGCCTATGGGAAGCACTGGACTCCATAGGCTGCAGAGGCTGCTTGCAACTTAGACATGTTTTGAGTCTTTTTTCTTGTGGCTGAAGCTTGTCATGAATTTAACAGAAAATGCAGATGTTTTCCCACGCTGTTTAGTGAATGAATACAATGGGCATTGGGCACTGGCTCTCAGTAACTTTCACTCATTTTCCTCTCTGGCAGGTTGGAATAGAGGTGGGACTGTGATGAAAAATACCAGAGCCTTTTTCCATCAGCCAAAATGGCAGTGCAGCATTGTTCATTATGTCTACCAGAACATGCTGGGAGGCTCCATCCGGGCACAGCTCAGGCAGGTGAGGAGTTCCTCCTTATGACACATTAAACATCTCATCTCTGTACAAAAAAAAAATAAAAATATTTTGAACACAAGTGAGGAGACTTTAAAGAGGTTTAATGCTCACATACACAGTTTGTGGCTCCAGATCTGGCATACTCTTGTGTTTCTTAGTCCTGTAAAATGCCAGTACTGGGATGACTGTCCCTTTCAGTTGAGGTAGCCTTGTTGCAACATTTTACCCTGTGTTCATTCTGTGCTTCTTTTAATTATATTTAAACTGTGCTCACTACCATTTAGGTTATTGCACAGTGCTGCCTTTGCACACTGATGTAACTGTTTTGTCATATTATTTTTGCATCTGCTCTGCTTCGCTAATCATGTATAATTTAATGTTGATTTCTCTTTTTCACAGACAAATTCCCTCAAGTCCATAATCTTTTTCCTGATTTTCAGAGTCACACTCCTTTCATTTGAAAGTTAACTTTTTCTGTGATATCCATAGGTGGGAAGCACCTAGACTAGCTTTATCTTTCAGATGATTTGTCTATTTTAAGTATCAAAATGCTAAAGAAATTGCCATCATCACCCAAGCAGTACCTGTTCCTCAGCTGAATAACAACAGAGTTGTGTTATGGTTCTTCATTCTCTGTTTTGCTCTTGTTCACTCTTATGCTGTATTGTTGTGCTTCAAGCAGTTTGGATGGAAGGCTGTATTATTGTATCTCTAGGTGATGAATAATATTTCAGGATGCTCAGTGCAGGCATAGTCATCAGTTTCTTTTTCTGGTGGGAGATGTGTTCTCCTCCATTGTGTCAGCTGTCACTATCAATACAAGCTGGGGAACAAAAGGAAACAGCATAGCCCTGCTGAAAAGGATTTGGGGTAGTGGTGGATGGCAAGCTGGACACGAGCCTGCAGCGTGCCCTTGCAGCCCAGAAAGCCAGTTGTATTCTGCACTGCATCAACAGAAGCAAGGTCAGCAGGTTGAGGGAGGTGATCTTGCCCCTTTACTCTGTGTTGATGAGACGTCACCTGGAGTACTGCATCCAGATGTGGAGTCCTCAGCACAGGAAAGATGCACATCATGACCAGAAGAGGGCCACAAAAATGGCCCAAGGGATGGACCACCTCCCCTACATGGACAGGCTGAGAGAGCTGGGACTGTTCAGCCTGGAGAACAGAAGGCTCCAGGGGGACATGGGAGTGGCCTTCTTGTGTCTAAAGGAGGGGCTACAAGAACGAAGGGGATAGACTCTTTAGCAGGGTTATTGTGATAGGAAAAGGGAAAATGGTTTCAAACTCAAAGAGAGGAGATCTAGATTGGATATAAAGATGTTGTTTTTTACAGTAATGGTGAGGCACTGGAGCACGTTGCCCAAGGGGGTGGTGGATGCCCCGTCGCTCGAGACGTGCAAGGTCAGGCTGGATGGGGCTCTGAGCAGTGTGATCTACCTCTAGGTGTCCCTGTTCATAGCAGGGGAGTTGATCTAGATGACCTTTTGGGGTCTCTTCCAGCTCAAATGATTCTATGATTCCCCCTTGTTTAATATTAGTTATCATGCTATTTTAACTCAACCTAAAATACTTAGCCCCCTGCACGTCATTTGAAGTATGTATCTCTCATGTCTCTGTTATTTTTGAGAACTATAGCTGATGTGGTTTTATGTGGTCACAGGCTGCTTGCCTGGGGAACAGTGTGTTCTCTTCATTGCACGGAGGGACTTAGCATTTTGTGTGAGTGTGCTAAGGCTGGTGGTGATTAGGAATTGTTAGCACTCTGCATTCAGAGATATTCAGGGATCCCTACAGAAGTTATTATTCTCTTTTATCTTTGTAACAGTGTCTACAGCTGCCCTTTCTGCGTTCTCTGACCTCATACCGCCTTTTTCGAACAGCGAGTCCCTTTGACAGGAGAGTGACTTGCCTGGAGTGGCATCCAACACACCCCAGTACTGTAGCTGTTGGTTCCAAAGGTGGAGACATCATTCTTTGGGACTATGAAGTACTTACTAAAACCTGTTTCATAAAAGGGGTAAGTCTCTGCGTGTGTGGAATGGGAAGGAATGGAAAACTGAAGCACGACCAAATATTTGCAAAAATGACATCTGTTGTGAGATGTGCATAAAGGCCCAAAACTGAAATGGAGATTGAGGAGTAGCGTAACAATTGAAAAACAGATGTATTGATTAAAGTCAAAATGAAACAATACTTGGTGTGTGTTCAGTGAGAAAATAAGTCAGCAATTGGCAAAATAGTAATTTTAAAGGGATGCCAGAAACAAGTACTCAAAGGAAGTCTGTCGTAGGTCTTGATCTTTTTCACCTTTTATTGTGTCAGATGAAGGAAAAAACATCTTTGAGTGGAGAAGTCTCTTGATCTGAAGTGAAAAGTTGAGCTACAATGGGTGGCTTACATAGCTGGCATGCCCATATTACTATATTCAGCCACTGTCATTCCTACCCAGACTTGAAGAGACTCTTAACTTTTGTCCTTTTGTAAATTAACATAGCTGTATGCTGGGGGGGGATATATCTTCCCAGAATTTCAGAGTCATCTTTCTCTTTTTAATACTGTGGTGCCAGCCAGCCAAGGAATACATTACCTGGGGACTGGAGGAGTTACAGTTTTATTCTGTGGAGGGGCGGCTGCCCAGACAGCTGCCATGTGGGAAGACATGGTGGTTGGTATGGTTGTTTTTGCCTCCCGGAGGGCTGTACTGTGTTTCTCTGTTGCTGTTAAGAAATAGCAGTGAATGCAGATTTAGAGAATGCACTTCCCTCCTTCCCCATCACTCAGTGGATTTTTCTCTTGTTCATCCCCTTCCTTGTAGATGGGAGCTGGAGGGGCCATCACAGGAATGAAGTTTAACCCTTTTAACCCTAGTCAGCTGTACACTTCATCAGTTGCCGGCAGTACCATCCTGCAGGATTTTAATGGCAATACTTCCCGGGTCTTCACCATCACCGAGAACTGGGAGTAAGAATTACAGCAATGTTTTGGGCTTCCAGGAGCACTATAAAAAAAAAGAGAGAGAAAGGGAGATGCTTGACTCTATATATGGGAGCGGGGTTTCTTCTCCATATTCATCTCCTTTGTCCTCTGAACTTCAGTGCTGCTCTCTGTAGTCCAGGAAGACTCGCTCTCTTTATTTTTCTCTGAAATGGGGTGGTGGGTAGGAGAGAACTTTTCTTCATTAAGGGGAGGGCTGTAGATGCTTGCTTGCTTACTACTTGTTACACAAGGGAGTGTGGGTTGTGCCAGTGGGTTTCTTCAGCTGTAAGTTCCGTAACTCTGCCCTGGGGACCTTCTAACCTCTTGACCTGGTGCAGTGCTGCTCACTGCCAGATGATTTTTTGCTGAGCAATTTCTTGTGCCCCCAGTACTTCTCCACTAACACCACTGCCTTCAAGTGGTGTCATAAGGATTCTTCTGATTCATTCCACCTAACTTTCAATGCTTATATAAAATGCCAAAACTAAGAGTCAGTGGAATGAGGAGATGAATCTCTAGAGGCAATTCTATCTGCCCGTGCTTAGAATCACCCTCTCAGTCTATTCTGTGGACCCACGAGGAAGCCTGAGCTCTTCAATTAGTTAATTCTGCTCAGTGTTGAAAGCTAAGTGAGGAGAAATTGGGTTAGCCTGCTCTTTACATTTCTCCACCTGCCTATTTCTGGTAGCACCTTTTGTGGTTGGTTTCCAATCTGGCTGTTCCAGCTGCACTCTTGTCTTAAGACAGAAGGTGATCCTTAGTGGTGCTGAGATGACTAGCTAGGTGAACAAGGCAGGATAGACCTTGTTCTGGACGCACCCTGGGACAAGATCTTGTATCCCAATGGAATGCCTATCAGAGTTATGCCTAGATACACCATCCTTCTTCCACTACTGTGAGGGCAGACAGACTCTGTAACTGGGCCTTTTTTTGTCTCCCCTGGCCTCTTAACAGCTAATATTTACAGTGCATCTTTGTTAAATAGCTGCTGTGTGAGCATCAGAGTGACACTTGAGTACCAGAGTTTGGGGACTCCCAGTCAGCATCCTTGTTTTCCGTCTTTGTTTCTGTAGGGTTTCCACATTTCCTCAGAGGACAGGCTGGGAGAAAACAGCTCTGGCATGAGGTTCTTGTGCCTTGTAGTTAGCAGTAGGATTTCTCTTGGCACTACTCTTGTTTTTCCTGGGGAGACCTTGAGTAAGACCAGATAAAGCAATGGAAGTAGCCTGTGGTGAACTGGTAAATGAAGACAGTGTAAGAAAGCTTAATGCAGGGTTGTCATAAGATTTTATGTGGTTTCTGCATGGAATAGCGTTGTATTTTTCTTGTAATCTCCTAAGCTGGTCTGAGTGAGGTGGTTCACTGCACATTTGTCACAGAATCACAGAATCACAGAATTGTAGGGGTTGGAAGGGACCTCCAGAGATCATCGAGTCCAACCCCCCTGCCAAAGCAGGTTCCCTACACCAGGTCGCACAGGTAGGCATCCAGGCAGGTCTTGAACACCTCCAGAGAAGGAGACTCCACCACCTCCCTGGGCAGCCTGTTCCAGTGCTCCGTCACCTCACTGTAAAGAAGTTCTTGCGCACATTTGTGCAGAACTTCCTATGCTGCAGTTTCCAGCCGTTTCCCCTTGTCCTGTCTCCACTCACCACTGAAAAGAGTCTGGCCTCGCCATTCTGCCCCCCACACCTTAGATATTTATAGACCTGGATCAGGTCCCCTCTCAGTCTTCTTTTCTCCAGGCTGAACAGACCCAGTTCACTCAGCCTTTCCTCATAGGAGAGATGCTCCAGGCCCTTCACCATCTTCATGGCCCTCCGCTGGACTCTTTCCAAGAGATCCCTGTCTGTTTTGTAATGGGAGGCCAGAATTTTGTACTGGGGAGCCCAGAACTGGATGCAGTACTCCAGATGAGGGCTTACCAGGGCACCCAGTGCAGAGGAAGAAGTGCTGCTAATGAGGTTTGTAGCCCAAAGCAATGGGGCTGAACCTACAGATACAGTATGTATGTGCTTAGGTGGAAACAGATCAGAAAGTTCTTGTGAGTGTCCCCTGCCAGAAAGCTGTGCATTGCACCTGGAGAATCCTGCAGCGTGTTCCAGAAAGATGGGTTGTATTAAGATTTTTTCCACTCTAACCTTGATACCGTTTGGCTTTGTATGTATTCCAGAAAGGGCCAGGAGATTCTCTTGGAGACATCAAGTTCAGTCCTTATGAGGCAGTGAAGCTTTATGTGGCATCAGGGGATGGCACCCTAAGTCTGCAGGATCTTGAGGGCAGAGCGGTGCAGGTGATCTCCCGTGCCCCGGACTGTGGCCATGAGAACCATAACGTTTGGTGAGGAAGGAGCAGAGTGAGGTTGAATCTCTGCTCTGTAATGCTGTGTTAATGCTGTGGCTCTGGTCATGTGAATGTACGCTTCTTTGAAGGTTTTAGGAGATTCTTGATATGAACTGATCTTGTGAGGGAGCTCACAGGTAGGCTCCTGGGCCCCACTCCAGCACTACAGGGTGGGTGATAAGCCAGACAGCCACAAGGCTTTTAGCTTTTGCGGTAGCTGAGTACGCTGATCCACCTTCTGGTGCTGCTTTCTGGTGACACCATCTCCCATCTTGTAATACTGACAGTGCTTCACTGTATAATGTACAGAAAGTCTTCTTTGTGATCAGTGTTTTGTGTTTTCTGTGTGCAACTCAGGCAGCATAGGAATTCCAAAAAAGCCTTCCTTCAGAATCTGAATTTCATCTTACTGGGTTTACCCTACTGTCCTGTGAAGAGTTCAGGCTCACCATGCTAATTTCTTCCATCTTGAATTCAAGAATAATTTAGCTCTGCAAGTGAAGCTTTTCCAAGTTCCGAAAGGAACACAGCTTTACTCTCGTTGGGCCTACCCCCCAAGCAGAGCTGTGGCTAAGAAGAATGTCTTTATCAGATAAGCCTCTATTCATGTTTTTTTCTAGGAGCATAAAGTTCATATAGTTTAGAAATGCAGTTTTCTAGTCCAGAGCTCTTGTTTTTTTCTTTTCCGTTGCTTCCTGTTTTGTGGAAAACCTTTTTAAAAGCCATTTCTATATATTTGCCAGTGTCACTTGGGTGTGTCCATGTGAAGTTTCTGAATGACTTTTCAGCTTCTATTATATTCCACTGTCCCAACATGCCACACTCCCATCTATTGAGCACTTCATAGATGCCTTAGGAATTATTTCATATTCAGTCACCAGAAGTTAGCATTGCTGATAAGCCACCCTCTTTCCTGCTGTTCAGAGCCATACCATCAGATCAGAGAGAGGATGACAGATGCAATCTGTTGCATTCTCCTTTGTCAGAGACAGGGATAAGGTGTGAACTAGAGCTCTGCTGCCTTCACCTGCCTGTGGGAGGTAGCACTGATTTTGTCTCTTTCCTTCTAGTTGCTGGTACTGCAGTGTTGATGTTTCTGCAAGCTGCCGTACTGTGGTGACAGGTGATAACTTGGGCAATGTGGTCCTGCTCAGCACTTCTGGTGAAGAGGTTAGTATGGCTTCACTAAGTGGTTTTTTGGGGGGGAATCTTCATGGCTTGTGTTCTTTTTTCCAGGCCTCTTAGTGTAGGAAAGTACAAGTGCCTTGCAGTTGAGAAGATGAGTCTGCCACTGTTTAGGTGGTGAGATTGTTTGTGCTTCTGCCAACTGGCACTGTAATAACAATTTTCAGACAGGAGCTGTGTGATGTGCTGCCCCTTCCTTCAGGGTATTTGATGCTGGGCAGAGTAATTACAGGGCAACCTGTAATACATACATAAATGCCCTCTGCCAGCAACCTTCATGCTTCCAAAAACAGTGCACTGGTGGAGGCCGTTTGGTGGATACTGCTGTGACAGATACCCTTCTGCAAGTGCACAACAGCAGTTCAGTGAATGTTGGGATAGAAATTGCACTACTGCTGTTAGGCAGGAGAGGGCAGGCACAGCTAGACTGGAGTTGTGCAGAAACCTATTAGAGAACAGACTTGGAGTTGGTCCTGCTTATAAGAACCTGCTGAACTGTCAGACTGGAATTACCATTTCTCCTGCCTACAGGGGTAGCATCAAGGGTAAGAATTTACTGCCCAGTGTGCTGTGGCCAGAGGCAGTTGTATAAATTAGTGAGCAGAATTATAAATACTCTGTATGAGTTGTGCTCATTCTAAGCTAGTTGTTTCATTTTATTTCTTCTGAAAGAATGTGACAAAAGTCTTTTCTTCACTTGGGAGGTACCCATTAGATAGATGATCTCCCAATAGAGATGATGGACCAACTTCACTCAGTTGATTAGAAATAATCTTTTGGTGTCCAGTATAAATGTATCCATAGCAAGTTTGTGTCTACTTGATAATTGAAATATTTTGCTTCCTTTATGTTTAATTTTCTGATATATTTCTAGAAGCCAATTACATCCTCTGTCATCTTTCATTTTTATTAAAATAAAGAACGCAATTTTTTCGTATCTTCACCAAAGCAGTTCTCTTCCTTCTTGTTGTTGTGTTGGCAGCTCATCTGTGTATCAGTTCCAGTTGTTTTAGTCTTTCTGTCAGTGGAAAACTGGTACTGCATGAAGTGTTCCAGATGAGGTCTTGCTTTGTACCGTGGTACTAATACTTTCCTCAGTGAACCAGGGATTGCATTTTTCTTTCCTGTAGCTGTAATAAATTGATGGATTAGAGATTCTTCCAGAACTGAATAGTTTCAAGGTCACTTTTCTCCATTCTTGCTCCCACAAGGTAAACTCCTACTGTATTGTAGTCGGTTTTATTTTATTCTCTAAATGTCTGGCCTCTTTACTCTGCACTAGTAGATTTTTCTTCAATTTCTCTACTCTAGCTCATGATTTTTTTTTTTCCTGTGTGATTTTCTATTTGCTGCAGATTTGGAGGCTGAAACTGCACAAGAAGAAAGTGACTCATGTGGAGTTTAACTCTCGATGTGAGTGGTTATTGGCCACAGCATCTGTGGATCAGACAGTTAAAATCTGGGACCTCAGAAACATTAAAGACAAAGCAAATTTTCTTCACGTACTTCCTCATGACAAACCTGTCAATGCAGGTGAGTTCCTGAGATAAGGATTTTGTTGCATGTATGTCTGCTGAGTGTCCCATCTGTGTATTTTTATTGCTTTCTTTTTCATCTGAGTCTGTATCCAAATTATTTTGGATTCTGTCTTGCTTTTATTCCACAAAACCATGAGATGCTGTTCTTGTTTTGGAGCAAACCTCAATACAATCAGATGCAAATTGTTCAAGTTCCATGTAATTTTTAAATGCAAACATTGAACATTAACATATCTAAGAGTGCTTTGGGAGAAGGTTAATGTAACTATAAAAAAAGGCTAACCTGTGTTGTTTGTTTGTTTTTTTTTCCACCTTCTGAGTAAATTATTTTTAATTGCTGTTAGTGGTATTAGTGGTAGAAGCATACTTAAATGTTTTGTTCTGTTTATGACAGGCAGCTTACAGCTTAGTACTTCCTAAGGTATTGCCCTTCAGGTTTAGTAGACAGTGTGGTTTCATGGCAGCTTAAACGGATCTGAAGAGGGCTGCCTCGGAGGTTTCCCCCTACACTCAGCCATATGCTGCAATCTGTTCTTGTGCTGGCTTTTGTGTTCAGAGGCTGTGTGTGGCAAGACAGGGTAGAGATCGAACCTGAGAAAAGCAGATCTGAATATACTGGGACAGTCCCTTTGATAAAAGCAGGATATGGGAGTTAGGGAACTGTTCCTTGACTGCAGTTCTACCAGTTTGTATCCATCTGTGCCATGTCTCTTTTGTCATCTTCATATCTCATGTACTTGTGACTTTCTATCTGAGTGAGCAGGTTCCTTGGTTTGCAGTGTTTGTTTACGTGACTCTAAAATGAAAATAGCGATTCTCCCTGTGTAACCCAGTGTGGTAGGTTTCAACTTACTGTAAGAGCTTTGAGTTTGCTTGAGATGGGTGAAGCCTTGTCTCTTGAGATGCACAGCCACATTCATATCATAGTTTATGGTTTTCCAGACAAATATGACTTCTGTGTTTCATGTCAATCACAGCACTGTGATCTTTGGCTTACTGTCCCCCTCTCTAGCTTACTTCAGCCCAACAGATGGTGCCAAGCTGCTGAGCACAGACCAGCGCAATGAAATCAGGGTTTACTCATGTTCAGACTGGACCAAGCCTCAGCATCTGATCCCACACCCACATCGGCAATTCCAGCACCTCACACCTATTAAGGCAAGTTAAGTCGCTATTGTTTGAGAAGAGTATTGCTGCTGGTGCTAGCAGCAGGCTTTAAAATAAATGATCTGGTTTCTGGTCAGGATATAACACTGGTGGGTGGATGTTCATACTTCTGCAACTCTTGCAGAGCACCTTCTGAGGACTCTCCTGTTGCTCAGGCCGTGGGTGGGATGCCCAGGCTGCTGCTCGCACTGCTGGCTGTCTGCTGTGCATCAGCATCAGCTCTGCCCTGCTCTCTAACTCTCCATTGCTCTGTTCTATGACTAGGCAACATGGCATCCTCGCTATGATCTCATTGTAGTGGGTCGCTATCCAGACCCGAAGTTCCCAGGCTACACAGTGAATGAGCTGAGAACTGTTGATATATTTGATGGAAACACCGGGGAGATGGTTTGTCAGCTCTATGATCCGAATGCATCTGGTATAATCTCGGTGAGTTGGGCACTGCAGCTAAAAGTATTTCTGAGTATTGATATGCAGCCAAGAGAGAGGTTTCAGGGATTAGAACAACAGGAATGTCTGCTTTACTTGTGACAGACTCATGCTCTCATGGGGTTATGAGTGCTGGCTAAAGCTGCTGACTCGAACAGGGTTGTTCTGTGGTCATCTGTAGGTTTCCTGTGATGCTCTTTAGGGAACATTCTGCTTTCCAGATTGTTGCCATTATATAAACAGTGGTGCTTTTATGCCTCTGTTATATAACCAATGGTGCTCTTACAGTCTCGTTTTGTCTATTTTCAGCTGAATAAATTTAACCCTATGGGAGACACACTAGCCTCTGGCATGGGTAAGTAAAAAGAATCCGGAACATTAAGCTCCTGGAAAAGGGCAGGCTTGTTTCTCAGAGACTAAACAAGTTGCAAGTATGGGTTTCCTAAATCCCATTCACTAGTAGTCCTTTACAGTTTCCTACATGTGTAAAAGGAAATCAAGAGCTTCTTAGTATTCTTCCACTTCGGCGGTTATGAAACAGGATGTTTCCGGGAGAGTCAGAAGCCATCCCTGGGCCAGAAGCTGCTGCCATCTGCTGGCCATGAAATTGTTCCAGAAAACAGGAAGGGAGAAAAAAGGCTTTTTCCGACTAGGCTGTAGCACTTTCCCTTTATTTGACTCATTTTCCAGGCTTCGGAGCAGAGTGTTTTTTCCTAGGCTGTGTGAGATTATGGGAGCTGACTTTAGGTTTGTGGTTTATAGCTGTGACAGATAAGATTAGAAATTACTCGATTACAGTTCTCAATTAGAGCAGAATTCTGTGGGCCACCTAGAGATTGTCTGCAATACAAATATTTGCATCATCTATACTGTGTAAATGTCTTAGAACAGACAAAATACTTTGAATTTCTGGCATCAAAGTGACATGGCCTTTGGTGCTATATTTTTATAAAAAATTTCTGATATACAAAACACAATGTTTTTGTTTTCCTCTCAGGCTTTAATATTCTGATCTGGAGCCGGGAGGAGATGGTGATGAAGAAGCAAGAACATCTTTTGAAAGCCATGACTGAGCAGGGGATCGGGAGCCGGAGTTTGTCCAGACGTGGAGGGCAGAGACAGGCAAACCCTGGGACAAGCAAACTCAAAGCTAAGTTATTGTCTTGGGAAGTGGAAGAGATGGGAACAAAACCCAAAGATTCTAAATCACGGGGAAGGAAGTGAAAAGGATCTATATAAGTGATAGAGTATTTTGATCCTTTTTTGATCATAGAAGACAAATTCAGTGATGGCAGTGGGCACAATAGGCACTGCAGGGCATTAGCCTTCTACTTTGTCCTTCCTCCCTAGATCTGATCTTGCTTCTGTGATTCTCTGCTTCTCCTTCTAGAGAGTTGCCAGTGGAGTTGCCACTTAATTTCTGAGGCACTTCAGAGTTTCTAAGGAAAATTCAGAGATGTTTTCAGATCCTGCTGAAGTTACTGCTTCCAGCCTGCTTGTTATCATTAACAGTGTGATAACAGGATATTATCTCCTGTAGTCTGCTGTGGAGCAGCTTGTGATGAGGTCTCCAGACTGTTCTAGTCAAATTGAGCTGAGGAAACCTTTGTTAGTAAGATTCATGTCTTGAAAGGTAGAATGTTCACAAGGGTGAGGTGATGGATAGCTTGAGTGAGTTAAGGAAACACCAGCCTTTCCCATCTGCAAGCTTCTTGCAGCATGTGCTATCAAAAACCTCAGGCTAAGTCTATTCTGCACCTGCAGCTATTTAGACCATGAAGAACATTATGATGCCATACCTCTTTATTTGCCTTGTGGGACGCATAGGCAATATAGAGCTAAGAACCTACTGATTCTTTGTCTTCAGAACTCTAGGCATTTTTTTTTGCTATCAGTTAAGTATTTTTTTTTCCACCCATGCCAGCGTGCCTCAGAATGTTGGGTGTGTTGTTAAGCAGAAACGAGGGATTTCTTTCAGATGCCCCTTTTCAGAGTCAGACCTCACAACTGCTGTTAAACTGAAAAACTCTGCTTTTTCTGGTTTGTTTATAAAGCTTTCTGGGAGCCTTGCTCCAGAGGTTGATGAGCAGGCTTTAGACCTGCTGAGATTCCCTGTGTTCACTTAATAGTTTTACAGCTTTGATATAAATAAAAGTTTTGTACTAAACTGAAGTACTTCTCTGATATAAAATGGGTGCTCTGAGTATTCTGCTGAACTGTTTTTATCTGGGAGGTTAGAAGGTATTAATCTTTCTGCTGGAGAACTATGAGAACTAGAACTGATTTTCTGTCTGTCATAATGCCATATCTGCAAATGACCCTTCCCAGTTGGACAGGCTGCATTATAAGCTGTACATATGCATGGTTGCTACCAGCCAAACAACTTTGTTTCAATTCTCACTTTGCTCTAGTAAACAAGGAATTTACCTTGGAAGGGGATATAGTAAGTTATCCCTGTTTTCCAACGGTGAGCTGGGTTTAACCCTGTGAAATCTTAAAGAGGAAGAATAAAGTTCAGTGTGAATTTGATTTTAATGATGAAAAGGAAATGTACTGAAACAATTACAGAAAGTCATTCACAGTCAGAATGTCATTATCATCATGGAAACCTTTTTTCTGCATGTGCAAAATTTGCTGTCTTTAAAAATAACAGGTCTGGTCCCTTAAATGCACTTTCTATTACCTCTTTTTTTTTGTGCCTGTTCACGCAGGCTTTTGCTTTATGACTGCCTCACTGTGCAGCAAACCTAGATTACATCTTCAGAGGACAAAAAGGTGAGGAAGATGCTGAGAACAGCAAGCTGCTACTGCTGATTCAGAGTTCCCATGCTGGCAGATGTCAATTATGGTGTGGGGAAAAGTCCCAAGGAAATGTCGTTAGCCTAAGCACTCGCTTCTGCCGCCAAGAAGGAAAGGGAACTGCAGCAGAAAAGGAACTAAAACTGGGAAGTGAATGTGCAGCATCACCATGTGAAGAGCCTGTGCTGGTGCCTGCCACAGTCTCTCATCTTCTGCCAGAAGCTGTGAGGCAGGTGGTGAGCACTTGGCAGTTGCAGTGTGCAGAGAGGCCCACAGCTTCCATCCAGCTTGCCTGGAGAAATGATCACACTTCAGACAGAAAGCCAAAGCATGGCAGATGAAGGGATCCACAGTTACCTGCAAAGTCTGATCCTTACGATTTGATTTCATTTTTTTTCCTCTGAATGAGGTGGTCCAGTAGGGAATACAGGAAACAAAAACAACAACAAAAAACCAACCAAACAAAAAAAGAACAACAACAAAAAACAATACAGGAGTTGGCATTTATTCTAATCTTGAAGCTCTTTGCTCAAGATCATATGGATGTGGATCATATGTAACTGAACCAAATACCAAAAAAACTACTGCCAGGTTTGCAGTTCTGTCCTGATCCCAGGCCAGTTCTTTTCTCTTGAGCTGCAATGCGAGGAGGGGAAGAACTGACTAGCAACAACCACTTAGCAGCCTCAGGAACCACTTGTCACTATCTGCCATCATCTGCAGCAGCTTCCTCTGTGTGACCAGCTGCCGCCACTGCACATGGTGATCTGGGCCTTCTACTCCAAGCCCAGCTTTCCCACCAGCATCAGTCCAAAGGCTTGAGAGAAAAGCACACAAAGCAGGTTGTGTGGAAAGAGAAGCAATTTTTGATTGTCCTAGATGTGGCACCTTCTGGAGAAACAAGCGCCTCTGCCACAGTCATGATGAGTGGTTACATTTACAATCACTGAAAGGAGGAAAATTCTTCATGAGCTTCAACTGGCCATGGTGGGAATCCCAGACAAGTTGTATGAGGACTGGGGCACCACACAGTAGAGTGGCTTCTCAGAATTAAAATGTCCGCTTCCATTAGATTAGGTTAATCCTCTCTCTGGGCATCTCATTAGAAAGTATCCAAAAATCACAGTCCAGCTTCATTCTGGGAAGCAATGGCCAAAGCAGAATACTCAGTAACTGAAGATGCCCAATCATCCTTAGGGGCAACACTGCTCCCTCCTATTGCCTGGGAAGGAGTTGAAGCAACTGTCAGGCCTGCTCTTCTCCCTCATTGGAAACGTGCCGGTAGCCAGGGGGCTGAGACTGAATGCGAAGGAGTACAGTCAAGAGGAGGATTATAAGGAGAAGGAGAATGGATCCACACACAGCCAGACCCACAAACAGTCCTGCAATGAAGAAAATAAGCAGTCAGTATAATACCAAGCTTTCCCTCTCTGCCACTATCTGGTCCAGCTTAGGCTCACCTGTGTCACGCATACTGCTTGCTACCTGACATTCTTGCTCCCAGTCCTGAGGAACAACAGGATCTGTGAGTTCCAAGAATCTTTGCAATGGACATATTTGCTGACAGCCAGGAATTGTCAACGGGAAAGGTTCCTTTCCGCTCTCATTCCGGAAAAACATTTCCACAGAGAAATTACTGAAAAAAAACCCACAGAAAATAGGTGTTTTCTTTTTTTCCATCCAGCTGAAGTCATCCCTTCCCAAAAAGCTCTTAGTGTGCACACCGTTTCCTTTAGTCTGGTCGTTGTTTTCTTCCTAAGAGTTTGCCACTAGGACCAAGATTGCATCCCCCTAGGTTACACCTAGCCTACGTATCTAACCCTTCAGGTGAAATCACAGCAGACATCTTTACTGCAGCCCTCACCCATCATCCTCTTGGTACAGCTCAAATAAATGACATGAGGCGTATGGTGCTTGAATCTTGTTGTAGACATCTAGAGCCATCTGCAGTGCCACAAGTGTGGTGTCATGCTGAGAAAGAGGGAAAAAAACCAAATCAGTCACCCTCATGAATGTGGCAGGGCAGCTCAGACCATACCAGCAGCGTGCAGGACAGTGCTGAAGGGAAGTCCCCATTGTAACTTCCACAGGGAAGAAGGGAAAGGAGCAGTACTGTTTGAAAAGTGATCTGTGATGGTACCAGAGAAGGAGAGGAAGTGAAACAAAGCCATATGTCCTGCATCATTCTGTTACGAATTATTTTCTACAGGGCAGTTTTGGGAGAGATGCCTGACTTTCCAGTCAGTAGGCTGCTGAAAAGTTAGGGGCATGACTTTAGCTACACTGTGTAACATCACATTTGAGTACCACCAACCCATCCACTAGTGAAGCCTAGCACTATCCCCCAAAGACTACCAGTCTCATCCACAAGTCTAAGCCAAAAGGAGCGAAGTGCCAGTTAAGAATTTTCCTCAAAGGCCCTAGAGGAATGATGCCAGACGTGGCACATCCCACCCAGCCAAAGGCAAAGATAAATCTCCTGCTCACTGCATAGGCTGTGGAGAAGCCAGAAAGGATTAAAGCCATCAGCAAGCCCCAGTTCCCGGTGAGGAAGGGTAAGTGGACCAAAGCTAGTACCCAACCTCTGACTTACCGCTGAATAGACAAGTAGTTTCAGTTGCTGGTGGGCAGAGACGTTTGCTGCTTTGGTTAGGTTTTTCCTAATGTGATCCAGCAGGACCCCTGGCAAACACAAATAACTAGTAAGATTCAAAATCCAGACAAAGCAGCACAAAGCTCCTTCCTTTGTGCACTCACCGCCTTGCAAACGAGCTTTTTCTACCCGACGATGAATTCCGAACAGAAATTCAAAACCAAAGTCTTTTAGCTGCTTCATTTGAGTCATGACATCTGGTGTCACCCATGATGGCAAATCCATTTTGTGTGCTTGCTAGGAAGAGAAAGAGAGTACTCATGTGCAGGTAGCACGGACCACAGATTAATCAGAGCAGGAGTCAAGGTGTCTGGAGTCCTGCCCAAACTGTTGTTGTGTTCCTGCTTTACTTTAAGTATTACCCTCTTCTATTTATGCTTCTATAATCACTGTGAACACTGCATACAGAAAATAGAGGTAGTTTGTGTCCTTCCTTTTTAATGTTGCTTTAGAAACTAATCATGAGAAGCATAAAGATTAGAGTCGAGGAGCTACTTTTCTGTAAATGCACAACTGGAGTGTGGGCTTTTATTCTTACAACAGTACAGTAATCTCAGGGCTTTTGCTTTACATGTGTATGCAGATGGCACACAGTCAAAAACAAAAAAACAAGCTGGAGAGCACAAGAACCCAAGTTTTCTGCTGTGTCTGCAGCACAATTCCCCAGGAGGTTTTGAGAGCCAATGAAGGATACTGGAGAATGTTAGCAAGCACTCTGCAACAGTACTGGGATGCACCTGGGATGAGGCCCAGCAATCAAACCTCAAATACATGTAACTGGGAATCTAGAAAAGAATTTGTTTTGTAGCTAACCATTTACAAGAAATAATTAGTTATGCTGGCAGACAAACAGTTGTGGTTCCCTGGCATTACTCAGATTATTTTCTATGCCACATCCCACTAAAATGCCAGAAGATGAGACTGAATATCCTTAAGGGCTCATTCTGTCTAAGCAGTTCCCATTAGCAACTTATATATTTAGCTAGTTTTTCATTACTATACAGAAATAATAGCTGCTAAGTTCAGGCATTTCTTGGGCTTTTATTTTCATCCAGGTGTTACAGTGAATCTCCTGGTTCCGGTGTGAAAAACAGTACTTCTCTTCAGGGCACTGTTTGTAAAAGTGAGAAAAAAGGAGGAAATTCAAAGTATCTAAAGAGATTAATCAGTATAAGGGTATAGTTTCGAGAGAGGATCTCCTCTTCTTTACAGTGTTCTCTTTCACTTTGGGACAGTGAGCTGTTGCCTGAGATCTTAGGGCTACAGTGGTTCAGTTGGGTTTCTTGACTCAATTTGCAAGCTCTTTAAGTCAGTCTTGAAAGTGAAAGTGAAGTTCTTGATCCCTCTGACCAGATCTAAACCCAGATGTTGGTGAAACCCACTTAACCTAGCAGAGAGAAATAAACATGAACAGAACACAGAAAGAAGTGATTGACCCAAATTAACAGAGGCAGAGGTAGAATCAGGAATGGTCTCAACTTAAAGCCTCTAACTTAAATCTTAAAGTGAACGTGTTTCCAGAAATCTCATTTCTACCTAACTCAGCTGTCTCTGGAGAGCTGAAGATTTCAGACTGCAGTCATTTTCTAGTGACTTTCAAATGAATAATTTACTGCACCTGTGGCATGGTATTTAAGCTACAAAGCAAGAGGTAACAGAGCCCTGAGACCAAAGTCTCATGGCTGTAAGAGGATGACCAAACTTACTTCACAGAACAGTGTGTCATACACACTCCAAACAGACTCGAGAGAGAGATCCCGGATTCCAGTCTCATTTGCCACCATCTGCAGGAATTGCTGTAGGTACGAGCAGAGAGAGACCTTCAATTTTTCAACCTCATACAGCATTACACACACAGAATGAGTCTTCCTACCCTTCTCTCTGATAATGTAGAGGTAACAATATTTCAACTAAAATCCTAAGACCATTTTATTTCATGCAAACGACCACTCACCAAATTGTCTCTGGTCTTATTTATGTATTCTGCTGAGTTCCGTGTTTCATTCTGTAGCTGTTCATATCGTGGACAGGGGGTTAATGGAAATTTCAATAGCTGGAAAGAGACAAGAGCAGCAAGATCACCGAGAATACAAATGTACAGAATTTGTACGTACAGGACTTTCGACATACAGAATTGTACCAAAACTCTGACTGGTGGGATGCATCTATGAACAGCTTCAGGTATTGCCTTCTCACACATTCCAGTTTGTGTGTGGTCTGGTGAGTGGCTGTGGCTAATATTGGCTGTACAAACACAGACCTTCAGTTTTCATCTTGTTCAAAGAACAGAAGAATCTTTGCAAGACAGGTTCCCAGGAGAAGCTCAAGACAGTCTGAACTGAGACTGAAGGAAAAAGCTTATGGAGAAGTCAGCGTAATGTTACTCGTGTAGTCAGTACACATCCTTGGGACTAACTTACCATTTCTCCAGACTCCGGCACTGTGTGCACAGGAATTGGCTGCCAGGAAATGTTAGGGTTGAACATCTGTTGTTTCTCTGGGGGATACAGGCCGGCCAGATTGGCCTCCGCACTCATCAGCGTCCGATCGTAATCCGTGCTGCGGATGAAGATCTGCCAGGATATGGACAATGCACCATTAGCATTGCTACTGTAAGTGATAGTGCTTAGACAAAGGACAACGTGTGTGCTGAAGAACATTGCCAAGTGCCCTGCAGCTGCTCACAGACAACAGAGTAACAGGAACCGAAGTGATTGAGCCTGCTGCTGTCAACCTGGATGGAATAATAAGGATGGGTATGAGAGATGATGTGTCGTGTAGCACTAGAGCACTCTGTTCTGGGAGAGCGGGACAGTAAGATGCGCTGTGTGGGGATTACAGACAGAAGGAAAGGAGTCTGAATATTCTAGTCAGAGAAGGGCAAGACAGGTGCAGATAATGACGGACACAGATAGGAAGTGCACTGTATTTACAAGGCAGAACTGGGGCAAACTGCAGTATTCAGTTCTCCATTTCAGGAGCAGGCTACTGCTCATGCAAAAACCTGGCTTCTCCACACCTCAGCTTTACCACCTGAGGAATGGAAACAAGAGTGGTCTAAGAGAGAAAGAGAAGTGAGGAAGATGAGATTTTATTTGATGAATGTGTACTTTTGGGATTAATGGGTCAAGACTTACCATTCCAGAGCTCAGAGAGAAATCTGAGCCAGAAAAAAGAAAGAAAAATACAAAAGAGTTCAGAAGGTCAAAGTGGTAAAATCTTTGGTATTCTGATATCCATGTACTGAAAACGCTTTGGGGAAACTGAAGGGAAACCAGTGCTAAGACAGGATAAACACATAGAAAAGAACATACTAAAAACCAACACTGGACCTGAAATAAGAAGAAAAGAATGCCAGAAGAGTCAAATATAATGTCAAGAGTGGGGTTTTGTTTTAAATGCTAAATGAAAAGTGAGAAATGTAAAAAACAAACAAACAAATAGGCTCATCATGTATATCTCCCATGTAAACTGTGTATCAAAACTGAAGTCATGGCAAAAAAGTCTTGACTGTTTCTACCTACATTTACTTTCTAACTGTGGCTTAAAAAAACCTGATCCTGTACTTAGACAGGATTGCATTGTCCTAAGTATGCTCTGAAGAAGCAGAAAGGAAATATTTTAAAATATAAGGACCTACTTCTCTAAGTGTCATTAAAAAAACCCCGAACAATTAAGCCCTGAGCATATTTGCTTTCTTCAGCACCTTTTGCCAAGGCTCCAGCCTGTCGCTGAGTCAGGTGACAGATGGTCACACGGTATCATCCAGAGGCAACACTTCTTATAAGAGAACTTGCTTAACTCAAGCCTGCTCAATTCAGGCTTGGTTAGCAGAACAGTTTTTGTTTGCATGTGCTGTGGTTAGTTTTTCTTTCTCAAGCAAGAGGAGAACAGTTTCAGCTGGCAAAAGCTGTATAAGAATGGAATATATTTAGAAAGGAACTACTGAAGAAGGTTAAAAGACCTTTGTTTGAATTGAGACTGGAAGTTTTGTTGGTAAGACAGAGGTCAAAGAGATGTAATCTGAACCACACCAAGCTGTGTACTTACTGGAGAGTCCAAAATGGGTGGGAGTAACAACAGAAAATTTTATGGGGACTGTTCCTTTGCCTCCAAGTAAGCTCAGATAAAACAACTGAATCAATGCAAGGCCAGCAGTAGGACAAGCTTTCCTTTCCATCCACATGATAGTGTACCTCTCAGCATGACGCTTGCTCATGTTCCCATTGACTCACACCCCTGTGGTCAACCACAATGGACGTTTGTGGGGAATTTCAGATGTGCCTCTGTGCACAGCACACAGCTGCACACAGACTCCAGAATATTTTTAATGAAGTTCACTGATGACCGTCAGTTTCTCAGGAACTGGAATGAAGGAGGATGACACCGCAGAGGAAGAGAGCAAAGTCAGCAGATGGGAGAACAAAACCTTTACACTAGAAGGGAACAGAGGGTCACTTTTGGTTGGGGACCGCTGTTTGTACGGGCCGTGAGACAGTGCCTGCAGCATAGCACAGACAGCACGGCAAGCACAGGCGGGGTTCTTCTTTTTGACCGGGATCTGCTGTTGTGACAGAACGATCTCAAGTAAGAAACAACACCAGATACGGCACTGCGTTTGTTGAGCAGATGTTACGGCCGCCGGCACGCCGCTCCCCCGGCCCGCAGGTGCCGCTGCGCCGCGCTCGGTGGCGGAAGCGCAGAACGAGGCGGCGCCGCGTGCCGCTCCCACAGCCACGGCGCGGAGCGAAGATCGACGAGCTTTTCCTCCATCTCGTCGTCATTTTAGTTGTGGTTTCGTTTTTTTCTCCTTTCTCCCGTACCCCCCCTCCCCCCCGCCCCTCGGGCACTCACCTCCTGCCGCCGGTACGAGGCGCTGAGGAAGTCGCGGTACCGCCGCCGCAAGGCCCGGCCCAGCTCCCACTGCTGCCGCATCCCCACCTGCAACAGCACCCACCGTTACCGCCGGCCTCGCCGCTCCCGGCCCGCTGCCCCGGCCCGCCTCCCGCACGCACCTGCGTGAGCTGCCCGAAGCCCTGCGGCCAGGCGCCCTCCTGGAAGGGATCCCGCGGGTAGGCCTTGATGGGCGAGCGGTCTCCGTGCCGGTACACCTGCGGGCGGCACCGCGTCACCTCGGCCCGGCGGGGACCGACCCGGCCCGACCCGCTCCCACCGCCCCCCATCCTTCCCTCACCAGCGTCACGAAACGGAGGCTGCGGGGCCGGACGGGCGGCGGCTGCAGCCACGCCGCCAGGAGGAGCAGCACGGCACCCACCCGTTGCCCCGCCGCCATCGCGCTCCCCGCGGAACCCGACCGCCGGCTGCACGCGCCGCACGGACGCAGTTCTCCGCGCGCTGCCGGCGGGCGCGCGCCTTCTTCCCGTACGGCGCGTGCGCAGCCTGGCCCGGGCCCAGCTGAGGCGGGCGGCGGGGCCGGCGCTGAGGCGGGCAGGGCCCGGCCGGGCCGGGGCGGCCCGAGGCTTTCGCGGGACGCGAGGCGAACGACGGGCGGCTCTTTCCGCTGGTAAACGGGCCCGGGGCGCGCCGGTTGTCTCGCCGAACTCCGCGGGACGGCTCGCGGCGCTGTGCGGTGCTGTGCGCCGCGTCGCGTCCCCGCCTGCCTTCCGGCTCCGGAGTGTCTCAGCCCCGCGGCTCCCCTGCCGCGCCCGGTGACGGCGCTGCTCGGGCAGTCCCCGGGCCGGGCTGCTAAACGCGAGGCGCTGCCCGAGTTACGGCGTGCGGTGGTCGCTGCGTTTCTCGTGAAGCGTTCCCTCGCTCCGCATGCAGGCGGGTCGACCGTCAGCCTTCTCCGCGTCGCCTTCTCGTGAAAACAGAGAAAGTTATCCAGTGTTCTTGCACCCCTCGGGTGTGTTTTACGGGACAGGAGGAGTGCAGACGTGCTCTGGCTCCGTGCCGCCCATCCCCTGGGCCTGCCTTTGCAGGTTGTGCCCGGCTGCGTTCTTCCTTGCGGTCCTCAGGGGATCGCGGACACGGAGGAGGCCCGGTCTTTGCTGCCCGTGGGCCGGCGGGGCCGCTTAAAGAAAGGAGGAGGAAATGATGGGTGGTTGGGGTGTCTGGCGGTGTGTGCTGCCTGTCTCTACCTACCCATGATTGGAGACGCGAGGGTCTCGGCTTTTGCTTTTGTCTGCGTTCCTTAGAAAGCGTGCTTTGCGGCACTGGGAGTCACGCGTCGCTTCTTAAGAAACAAAAGGCTTACGTCTGTGTAACTCAGCCGCGGCTGGACGGAGCCGTTTGTTTGACGTGCTTGAATGTTTAATGAATTAAAGCGACTGTGATTCCGTATCTCTTGGAAAGCACCAGGTCACGTTGATCTTTCCTGTTATCGCTGCTGACGCCGTGCCATAGGGGGCGCGGGGAGAAAAAGTATCAGCAGGCCGGGACTGCGTGCGCTTAACCGGAGGTACCAGTTTGTTTGTGCTATTCTTTATTGGGTTCGGCTCTCTGCTGATTCGACAGAACTGATACCTAGGGGCAATGCACGGCGGCCCCGAGCACGGGCAGGAGCGTGAGCGGAACCGCTGCTAGTAGCGCTAAGGCGGCGCTTGCGTTTGTTTGCTTGCGCTTCGGTGATCGTCGCGTCGGGACAGCGAGCCGAGCCGAGACCGATGCGTAAGGGCCGGCACGGCACGGCGCACCGCTTTGCTTTCGTTCTCCCGAGGGCCCGGCTCTCCGGGGGCGGTCGCTGCCGCCGGGCCGGAATGGGGCGGGCCGGGCCGGGCGTGCGGTGGGCGGCCGGGCCGCGCGTTACATCACGGCAGCTCCGCGGCACGCAGCCGGGTCGCGCCGCCGCCGGGCGCTCGGGCACCTGCCGGGAGCGGTGGCCGCCCGTCGCCGGGGCCGCCGAGGAGCCGCGCCGCCCGGTAACTTTCCTCTGGGGCTGGAGCGGGCCGAGGGGGGAAGGGGGAACGCTCGGCTCCGCCGCCGCCCGACCCGAGGCCTGCGCCGGGCTCCTGCGGCGCGTTGGAAGGTGCCGGAACGGGCCCTGAGGCGGCCGTCGCGGCCTCGCCTTTCCGCGCTCGGGCTCGGGGCGGAGCGGAGAGCGAGGGGACCTGCCCTGGGGACGGCGGGGCTCCGGGGTCGCGGCGCTGGAAGGGGCTCTCTGGGAGGAGTGGACGGGCGGGTGGAGGAGCTGAAGAAGGGTCGAGGCTCGGGGCGTCGCACATCTCCTGTGTCCAGAGAGCCCGGGTCTCTGCTGGAGAGGCTGCCAGGTGCGGTGATGTTTATTCTGTTAGCTTTGTCACGTTTCCTTGTCTGTGCGGCTCAGCTCTGTATTGCTGTTGGTTCACCTGTTACATGCTATCAGCTCTGATCACCTGCCTTCTGGAACACAGACCGGTGACAGGTGTGTGTAGGGCTGTAAGAGGGTAACTGCGAACGTCGGCTTCTTGTTGTGCCGCTTCATTGCAAGTTGTGTTAAGGTCCGCAGACTCTTAACAGCAAGTGTTCCGTTGCAGGATGGCAGCATCCCTCAGATCACTGCTTGAAGAGGAATGCTTTCTCTCATGGATCCCCCCTTTCTTGCCCCTAAAGGCACAGCTGGGCCTTTCACTGTAAGGCTTTTCTAAGGGAGTTTCTGCCACTGACTCACACGCCTGACTAATGCTTTGGATCGCTGCGGCAGCTCCCGGCTGTGGCTGCAGGTCATGTTTGCAGGGAGGGCAGACTGTCCTCTGAGCTCTGCTGCTCATCCCAAGGTACATGGAGTGTGCTGCTTCCCAGGCACCAGGCTCTACTGGGGACAAACAGAAAAAGAAAAATGTTTGCTACTTCTTTCAGTGAGTAGCGGTCTTCTCTTCCAGTTAAAGGAGCAAATCTGGTGTGAAAATTACAGCTGAGTGTTAATAAGCTCGGCCTTACTTTCTTTTGGGTTGTGGAGAGAGGGCATTGGACGTAGTACAGGTTATGCCATGACCAGATGGAGTTTGGCCTTGCTGCATTTCTCCACAACCACACCCATGACACATTCACCAGAGGGTTCTTCCTGCTGCAAGGCCTGCGATGCAGGCTGGATGCTGCCCGCTGTAGTCACTCACTGGAATCTAGCACTTGAGTTCAGTAGGTTTTCTTTCTTATGTGTGCTTACAGAGGTTCATCTATCGCAGAGGGCGGCAAACTTTTGGTAGAGAAAAATGGAGGCTAAAATGATCAGTTCCCCTCCTGTCTCCACCATTCCATAGCTGTCCAAGGAATCCTGCAGCTGCTTGTACTGTAACGGGGTGCAAGGAGAAGCACTGCAGCAGGGACTGTGTATGAATCACCTAACCAAAAAAACGTCAAACAACAGGAAACTTTATCACCGACCTGCTGTGTTCTGGCAGTGTGCCTTTGGTTACCGCTGCTGGCAGTTAGCAGCTGCTGCAACTGCAGCTCTGTACCTTGTCACGGCGTTCCCTTTGCTGGCCGCGGTGCAGCAAGGAGCTGGCGGTGTGCAGGACAGCAGGTGTGCGCTGCAGAGGTATGGGCAGGAGCTCACTGCTTGGTGCTGAGCTCACACCTGTAGGCAGAGCTGTGTTTCCAGCGTGTTAATGCGTGTTGGATTGCTGTTATCTCTGTTCAGACAACTTTTTCAGTTAAGGTACTTTCTCTAGGAATTGCTGTTACAATTCGGGAAGCGCTCGATGTTGGATTAAGGGAAGGATGAAATCTGCTGCTGATTGTTTGATCCAGTCTTTAGAAACGGTGATGGGTGCAGACTACTCATGTTCCATCTTTTGTATCTAGATCTGCTTTGTGACTGTTGGCTATCAAGATGGACTTTTTTTTCTTCAAAAAGAAGTTTTGAATTTAGAGTCTTAAGCTGTTGCTGTTTCTCAGAAGTCCCATCTGCCCAGGGAAGGATACAAAATATAATGTGCTTTGTCTTTGAATGCACTGAAGGATGATCCTATGTTCTGCTCTGGAAGCAGCTGCTGTGGAAGGCTCGTTGTCACTGATCTGTGTATCTTTGCAAGTTGAATAGGAAAGTTTATCAGATTTTGTCATTTTCCTTCCTCCTTCCCCACCAAGCAGTAGGATTTGCACATCTGACAGTCTCAGAGAAAAATGACAATTTCAGCATTAAAGTCAAACCTTACAAAAACGCTGTTTTGTTTGGCTGGGGGAAATTGTTCTGCTGCTCTGCACTGCAGTGTGTTGCCTTGTTTTTCTCACAGCATAATAATTTAGGAGGGCAGGAACACATTCTCTGCTGTGGAAACTGAGTGGGAAGGAGCCTTGGAAAGGAGTTTGGGGGAGTGCTTTCTGTACGGGTACGGTTCTGCATCCAGTCTGCAAACAGGTTGAACTTGGTCTTAGATCATACTTCTGCTAATATGTAAGTGCAGTGTTTGACCTTGCATTTTCATTGTGGTTACTGCAGCTAGAAGCTGTGTTTTAATAATCCTTGGTATGACAAATGCACAGAATGTTGTTAAAGTAAGAGAGGCTTTCTGTGTCGTGGCAGATCTTAAAAATATCTCAGTTAAAAGTGGTGTGATGTGTTACTTTAGCGCTCCGTGTTGCTTTGTTCTGTGACTTCCTGCTTAGGACAAAATACTTTTTTTTTTCCATTTTTGGAACACGGACAAATTCATTTCTTGTGTCCTCGATAAGAAGGAGATAGATATCCCTGGAGCCTATGGGGTTGTTAGTTGAGATCTGGAGATCTCAAAAGCAGATTTCCCGTAATGCAAAATTGCTTGCCTTATTGAGAATCCGAAAGAAAATGTTAGGGTGATATCATTATCATTTAGTAAAGTGAGTTGGAATATGCACTGTCAAGCTTTTAAGCCTCTTGTTTGGGGAGGGCAAAGGCTACTTTGGGTAGCACATGTGGGGAAGAGCAAAATCCTGCTTTTATCTGTTAAGGGGGGAGGGGAAGATTTGTTTTAGTTGATGGTGGGATGAAAAGAACTGCGTTAGAAATTAGGAATGTAATTCTCTGAATTTGGAAGCTACCATAATTGTTCTCTCTAGGGTTAAGTAGGAGGACTCTCATGGGATGGGAGGACTGAAAGGCCATCAAATCCATGCTGCAGAGCCAAGCTGCATTATTTACACGTAGAAACATCTTTGGGATGTAAATAAACAGTATTAGGTGGGTGTCACACCGGTTGCTGCAGCAAGTGACTGACAAGAGTAGGTGTTCCCTGGTGTGTTAGGTTTTCTAGTGTTTTGTAAGATGTTTTTTTTAAAATACTGGTAAATACACTTGTAAAATTCCTTGAAACGAGAGCTGTGCACAGAAGTGAGATCTTCTGCCCTTCTTAGGAAAGGGGAGTCTTGGCTGACTGTGGTCCAGCTGTGAGACAAGCACTGCTGTGTGGCTCAAAGCAAGGCTCCCACCTGCTGATTTTAAGTCACGATTTAAGTTGGTGATCCAAGAATCCACGTAAACCTTGTTTTGCATTTGATGTTTTCCTAAAAGCAAGGTTTGCTCTAATCGGCTAGGCTAATTTATTACTTGCTAAGCAGGATGATAGAGTGTGTCTGCATACATTAGTTTATGCTATTATATCACAGCAA